GAAGGTATTTTATCCCTTATCCACTGGACGGTGGCAGCCATGGTTTCAGTCTGTGCGAGTGCCTTATGCCTTACGTATACATCCATTAGAGAGCATTCAGGAACTTGACCAACAGAGAAGGCTTCAATCACCATTGGGAGAATTACTGAATATACCTTCAAATTCAAGTTCCTTAGAACTCGCTGATTCCTCCTCAGTATTTATAGCAAACTTCTCCTTTGAAGTCTTTTAGGAGCTCCAGACAGATTTAATCTTTCACCTTGAAAAATCATGCTGTAACTTTTTAACCAGGAGATAGTTATTAATTAAACTAAGTTTTACTTCAGTGTGACATCATGTCTTTGTTAGACTGGAGGTCAGCTCTTGTTCTTAGCCAGTCTGTACACAAAAATTGCTGAAGGCAGTATAAAAGCGCTTTTCCTCCTAGTGACTATTAACATGTTTCAAAGAAAGATTTATTTTTTTTATCAGACCTTGCCTTGTATCTCAATCTGTACATTAACACATGCAATACAAATATCAAAACAGGATAAATATGTGTAGCTTACTACTGGTCTTGGTTGAAAGCAGACATGACAGTTAACCACAGTTAGCTTGAGGTAACTGAACCTCAGGTTTTTTCTACTAAGCTTATTGTAACCATTCCATTATAAGTTACATTTGCCTACTGTACTTGAGTAGGCTATTTCTGCCAATGCTTTTGAGGCTTATACTTGCTTGTGTTTATGCTGGTATGCCAAGAGTCCTCTTTTCAAGAGTAAAGAGTTGTTACATATGAACAAGAGGAGATTTCACATGGGGTCATGCTCTGATGTTCATGTTGAAAACTGACACTAGATTTTCTTTGGAACCAAACAATGTGCTTATCTACATTGGTTTCTTAAAATCCTCTCACACAGTGCATATGTACTGCATGTACTATGCAATATGTATGCTGTGCCCTAATATCAACAGCAAAGTTCTTTACCATAATTGTTAGTGGGGCATACAAAACATTGTTTGTGTTTGTGGTCAAAGCATTTTGAAGAGCAGTCATTATTTTAAGTAAAATTTTTAAACATTTATTGGATTTTTTAATAAGCTCAAAGTGAGTTTATTAAGCATTTTAGCAATTTTCATTAAAAGTATAAACCTGTTACAGTTAATGATATGAGTTCTGCTAGTTCTTAAGTACTTTTTTAAGCAGGCAGACATACAAACACCTCCAACATTTGTAAAATTTTTTTTCAACAGGTTAAAACTGCTGAATCAAAAATAACTAATTTAATCTACCTGAAGCATACTCTAGAACTTGTGGAGCCTCTAAAAGTAAGCTGTCTCTGTTTTAGTCTTTTTAATAAAGTACAGACTGTTTTGTCCTTATTTTTATGCAGTATAGTTTGTTAAATTTCATAGAACGTAGAATAGAATAGCTCACTCTTCAATATCTTATCAAGTCAAAAAAAAAATTTACTTTATATCTTACCGAACACAATACTGCCAACATAGTCTGTTAATTCTTAAGCAAATTGAAAATATGCTTTTAGGTCTAATACTCTTATGAACTGGATTCCTGCCATTACCTGAGTAATTGATTTTATGACAAACGTTTAACTGAAACTCCTGCTCAGGTTCCGTAAGCTGCTTATGCAACCTCTAATAAGCTTTGATGAATCTAAGAACTTTCAGTCCTTTAAAAAGGCTACAAAAAGAAATAGCTGTTCATATCCCTGTTTTAATCTTCAACAGGCTGCTTTAAGAAGTTGTAACACACCACTGCTAAAGGCCTACTACAGTTCTCTTGAAGATACAAGGTATTTATCATAATATTTTAGCTGGTATGTTAGAAACTATCATCTTAAGAATGTCTGTAAGATTAAAGATGTTGCATCTTTGCTTATTTGTAGTTACAGGTATAGCTCAATTCTTTTGCCTAAAAGCTGATTTTAATGGTGAAAAATTCTAATTTTCAATTAACAAACAAATACAGGGAAAAAACACAAACCAGAAAGTTAGCTATGATACTGCAATTCCTGATGAACTGCACTCCACTAGAAATAATTCTGAAAAGACAGAAGTAGTAGTTTACTAGAGTCCCCATAATAATGCAGAAATCAACTGTTGCTTGTGTATTTCAGAAATCAACTGTTGCTTGTGTATTTCAGAAATAATATCTCCCAAAGATTTGAATGATATCTTTGGCCAGACTTGTGTATAGTCATACTTCATTCTGAGGTGAAATAGACATGTAATTTAGTGTTTGGTTTTAACAGTAGATATTGTGCTTCAGTTATTTGTAATACTCTTATTTGTCATTTTGGGACGATACTGCAAGTAAAAATTGTAAAGTATTATGTATCTAATGAGCAATACAACTAATATTGCAGATTCAGAATTATACTTGAAAAGATTACAACTGTAATTAATGACGATACAAGGTACACAAAAGGGTGTCTGAGTATGAGGACCCAGAAATGCTATGCTGTGAAGCCAAACATCAATGAATTCCTTGACATAGCTCGTCGAACATACACAGAAATAGTTGATGACATAGCAGGTATTTCTAAACCAAGATTTTTGTTTATTTGGAGTTCAAAGTACGTTGCAACTGACATAGAGAAGCCATATAATCATATGTATTGCAGCCTTCTCATGTGTAAACAGTATTTCGATTAGTATAAACCGATTGTCGTTGATAAGTAACTGAAGTACTTTTGAGATACATATTGAGATTCTCCTTTTGTGGATAAAAACCCAGTTTTAATGAAGTTGAACAATTATATTGTGATTCCTGTATTTAAAACTCTGTTGTTCCTTACCCTCTAAAAGTACCAAAAAGTTAAAGTAACGTAACAGAATTATTCCAACTAAAACGTTCTGCATAAAACATGTAAACCAGTAATGAGTGATGTCCCTCAAGGGTCTGTACTAGGACCAGTCAATGACGTAGTAGGATTGAGCACACCCTTGGCACGTTTGCAGACAACACCGAGATGAGTGGTGCGGTTGATTCACTAGAAGGAGGGGACACCATCCAGAAGGGCCATGACAGGCCTGAGAAGCAGAGCCACACAAACCTCCTGAAATCCAAGAAGGCCAAGTGCAAGGCCCTGCACCTGGGTCAGGGCAATCCCTGGTATCAGTACAGGCTGGGAAATGAACGTATTGCAGAGAACGTCTTGGGGATGCTGGACTTGGGGATACTGATGGACAAAAAATTGGACATGAGCCGAAAATGTGTGCTCATAGCCCAGAAAGCCGATCGTATCCTGGCCTACATGAAAAGAAGCGTGGCCAGCAGGTTGAGCGAAGTGATTCTGCCCCTCTGTTCTGCTCTGGTGAGACCCCACCTGGAGCACTGCATCCAGCTCTGGGGTCTCCAGCACAAGAAGGTCAGGGACCCGTTAGCGTGGGTCCAGAGGAGGGCCACAAAACTGGTCAGAGGGCTGGAATGCCTCTGCTGTGAAGAAAGACTGAGAGAGCTGGGGATTGTTCAGCCTGGAGAAGTCCTGGGAGGCCTTTCAATTTGTAATGTGAGCTTGTAAGAAAGAGGAGGAAAGACTTTTTACCAAAGCCTGTATTGACAGGATGAGGGGCAGTGATTTTAAAATGAAAGAGGGTAGATTTAGACTGAACATGAGGAAGAAGTTTTTCATGGTGAGAGTGATGAGATGCTGGAATGGGTTTCACAGAGTAGTTGTGGATGCCCCATCATTGGAAGCATTCACTGTCAGGTTGGATGGGGCTTTGAGCAACCTGATCTAGTGAAAGATGTCCTGGCCCGTGGCAACGGGGTTGGACTAGATCTTTAAAGGTCCCTTCCAACCCAAACCATTCTGTGATTATGTGTCCAGAATGTCCTAAGTTGCTACTCTGTGTTGTGAGTGGTTGGAACATGAGAGTGGCCAAGCTTAGAGCAATGAGCAGCAGGGAAATGCCACTAACCCCATCCTTTCTTCTCCCAGGAGTACCACACTATAACCCTTTTCACAGTATTCAGAATTCCCATGATTTAATAGTACATTTGTACATGATGTCCCTGCTCACTGCAGGGGGGTTGGACTGGATGACCTCTAAAGGTCCCTTCCAACCCGAACTATTCTATGATTCTATATTCTTCTGTCATCTGTTTCCCACATATGGTATCTTCTCAGCTAGGAACAAGATGGATTTAAGGCAGGGATTAAAAATTTAAAGCGTTGTCTTCAGTCTGGGGAAAGAATATTGCTTAGAATCATGAACTGGTTAAAAACTGAGAGTCCCTAGTTTACAGTTCGTATTCTGTCTACTGATTAGACACTGATGCTAAGTGCTTGAGCAAACTTCCCGTAGTTAGGCCCACCTGGGACTTGGTCAAATACATGAACTGTCTTTAAAGAACACATTAATTTATCTGTTTCTTGTCTGGAATTTTTTCCCAATAGCTTTATGCAGCCAGATTTGTTACATTGATGTTACTTAAATAACTCCTTGGAGACCCACCTCTGAGGCCTTTTGTCATGTTACTTACTTGACCCATTCAGCATCTATAAATCACATTAACAGTATGCATCTTAGTGCCAGCACAAAATGTATGTGTGTGTAAGCACGTGAATGTATGAAATTTGGGTCAAATCTTTATTTGTGGTATGTAGGTATGATAACACAACTTGCAGAAAAGTACAACCTACCGATGAAAACAAGTTTCAGCTCTGCTCGTGGATTTTTTATCCAGATGAATGTTGATTGTTCAACGTTACCCAATGGTCAGCTTCCTTCAGAATTTACAAAGGTATCTTCTGTACTAGATATGTTTTTTCATGGTATGTTTGTAATGCCTAATATATATAAAATGTATAATACATTAATAAAGTACACATTATACAGTAATTTAAGCAACAGTTAAAATAATTTCAGTGAAGATATCTAGAAGTAAATTAAGGTATAATTGGTATGTTTTTCTAACTGCCCTATTTCTAGTTAATATAGTCAGAAACGTGCAATTACATGCAATTATGTTGTGTGTAAATATAAAGTTGTATATCTTGCTGATAGCTGTATTCTCCTATATGGATTTTTCCTAAACATGTATATGGGGAAAACGAAACCAGACAACCCCCCATATTGTTCCCAGTTTGATTTTTAGAAACTATTTTTGTTTCTTATAATATAGCAAGTTCTTGTTGTTGGTTTGAATTCCCTGTAGATCACTAAAATGAAAAACACGTATAGCTTCACTTCACCAGATTTAATAAAAATGAATGAAAGATGTCAGGAGTCCTTGAGAGAAATCTATCACATGACCTACTTGTAAGACCATTTAAAACTATTTACTGTTTGCTAACTACATTTATTTTGTCCAATTAGCAGCTAATTACGTGTTTTCTTAAAGCTATCTTTCTGTTATGACTCCTTACAGAAATAATCCAAAGCGACTCTGATCAAGGGTTGTAGCTGAGACAAAAAAACCCCGCAAAGTCTGTATTGTATTAAATGTGAATACAAATATGTAGGCATTTCTTAATGAGGGTAGCCATCGTATTTATTAAATTTTTATGGGTGAATTATCTACACAAAATGACACAATAAATGCATTAGTTTTGTGATGCAGAATCATTACTTTTAATCAGTTCCTTGCATTTACAGTAGAACTGTCTATTCCTTTATTTTATCCTTGCTGCATGTCATGTTGCTCTGCTGTTTATTTCAGAATACTTACTAAGTGTGATGTTGCATGCCAGTTTTATGGAAATTCGTTTTAGAAGCCATGTGGGTGTTTTATTAACATGAAGGCCTAAGGGAATTAAGAGTTGCATTTGACGTGTTGATAAAACATACTTGATTCCATGGCTATATTTTTAGTTCATTCTCTTTGTGAAGCGTTCTTACAAGCTGTTGGTATTTGGGCTGTGTGTCTTGTGTCTGATAGCAGAATTTGATCTGAGATGATGGTATAAGATCTTAAATTTTCTTCAAAGAATTTTATACGTTTGCTTGCATCTGGCAGAGATGATTGCATTTTATGAATAACCTCCTATCTTAATGTTTGCAGTATGAACATTATTAACTTGCTTTATTTTTGTAAGTTGTATGATGTGACAGTATGTACTGTGCAACAACTAAATCAGTGTCTTATTTCAGAATAGTGTGTAAACTGCTGAACGAGATCTATGAACACATTCACTGCCTATATAAGCTGTCTGACATTGTGTCAATGCTGGATATGCTGCTTTCATTTGCGCATGCCTGCACTCTTTCTGATTATGGTAAGTTTCTTTGATTCCGTCCTGGATCTTCCTGTTGGAGAATATCCAGGCTGTTTTGTGGGTTCTCCCGTTGCTAAGCCCGTGTCTCATTCATTTTCCTGAGTCTCAGTAGGCTTTAGGTGAGTGTCTTTGGTCTATCCTTGCCAGTGTTGTGCTGATGTTCTTTCTGTTTCCATTCATTTGAAATTACATTCTGCCATTTAGCTGCTGTAAGCCTTCACAGCTAGTCTTTTCAAGATGGCCAATTTAAGCATATTCAAAAGCATAAAGTCTGTGAACATTCTGTGTTTACATTTCTGTTCTGAAAGGCTGCAAGATAATACAAGGAGATCAACATTAAGTATATACTGTAAAACAAAATATGTGGCTACCTTTGTTTAGCTTGCTTTTAGACATTTTTGGAAGTAGAGTCTTCTAAGGAATCCAGGATCATGTGCTTACCAGCATGTTGTTCATTCTGCTTCCCTAGCCCAGTTCTGCAATGTACAAATGAGCACATTGTCTTCAATTAATGCTGACCTGAGATACTTACCTGCAGTTCAATAGGGTGTAGCTACTAGGTCATCTCTGAAGGCCATCTCAGGAAATGTATTAGCTCATCATTACTGATGCTGCTAGGTAACTTCCAGTCCATGAGCAGGATCAGTTTCCTTTGCAGTGTGGACTGTGAATCTTCATGTGCTGACGATTTCAGTCATAGCACATAAATTGATATGTAGCTCAACAGTAACTGATATGCTTGAGGTATCACAACCTTTTCCTGCCAAATGAATCGGAGCACAAGTTTTATTCAGAAGTAATAAGAAGACCAAAGCCACTTAGCTTCTCCCATATATCTACACCTACAGTTTCCACAGCCAGGCATGATTGAATGTGTATCCATCAAAAGAAATGGACTGTCATTTGTTGTTTTCAGTCCCCTTTGCCACTTGATTCTCTCGTCTAAATCATTAAATGACTAAAACCTATACCAAGTCATTAGAGTTCCCCAATGTTTAAACCTGAAAAACTGTTTTGGCACTTCTTTCTTGAAGGCTGCTCCATTTAAACAGACCAAATTTAACAACACCTCTTTGTTAGCCTGGGCTGCTGACACTGAGGTAGTCAAAGAGGACGTACATGGAGTACGTTCAGAAAAGAACTGTATTCTGACACAAGTACATACAGATAGTCCCAGCAAATGGGTCTCTGTAGCATAGTGTATACCCAAATAACCAATATGATAAAATATAACAAAAATAGAAGGAATGCTACTTCCTTGTTTCCTGTGCTTATATAATAAGGTAGATATGTCATAGTAAGAAAGTTCGTGACTCCTGTACCATATATGTTCATAGTAGTATTAAAATAAACTGTTAAAAATTATGTTAGTGATGAAACAGTCTTTTAGGTTTTCTGTTTTAATTAATTTTCAAGTTTCAGCCTTTGTATTTTTCTTTATTACTGGAGTCCAGCCCTACTTACTACTGAACACAAAGCAGAATGTTAATTAGAAATTAAATGTTAGTTATGGGATTCTTTTTGTAGTAGTGAATCATGAAGACTTGCATGACAATCAGAATCTATACCTTCACAAGTGCTGCATGTTGGTCTTGCTCACTACAGGAAGGTAAAAATCGGGGAATCAGCACCACAGAGTTTGACTTCTGCTCTGCAAGAATTACCTTATTTCAAAATGCAGTAGTTTAATAATATAAAGGTTTCCATACTAAGTCTGCACTGTTCTATATCCTTTTTCTCATTTAGTTCGTCCAGAATTTACGGATACTTTAGCGATCAAGCAGGGATGGCACCCCATTCTTGAAAAGATAGCTATGGAAAAACCTGTGTCAAACAACACATTTCTGACAGAGGGTAACAATTTTGTCATTGTTACAGGACCAAATATGAGTGGAAAATCAACATACCTAAAACAGATTGCTCTCTGTCAAATTATGGCACAGATTGGTGAGTAAGAGTGTACCCTATTAGTTATCTTCTGCAGCATATTTATTGTTTTCTAGGTAAAAATATTTATGAAGTTGAATGATGTGGCTTCTAGAATAAGATTCTATATAAATAGTAACAGGTAATTTTTTAGTCCATTTGCTCCTACCAGCTCTTCTGTTTCTGACAGAATCCACTGCAAGGTTTTGGGTCTGCCATTGGAAACTTATGGGGCCCCATCTGTGTAACTGGAAGGCTCCCCAGTCTGTCTTTAGAAGCAGAGTTGTATGCCTTAATTCTTTGGAGCACCTTCACCCAGTCTAGCACCTTATGCTAGATGGATAGCGAGAGTCCTTGAAGTATCCCTGTTGGGCTACATACGTGTTAGTCATCCAAAAGGAACAGATGAACTTGAGCATACTTCAGTTATGTAGAGAAACATGATTGCAGCCAAGTAGAATTAATAGAGAAATAATCAACTACTTCAAATAAAAGTAGTAATAAATACTGCAAGGATCTGTCACTAAAATCATAAAAATAAAACAAATATTTGTAAAGTCTAACTGGGATTCACCCATGTACTCAGGAATTCCTTGTGGTTTTTACCTGAATTCCTCATGGTTTTTGCCTTAAAGATAAAGATAAGGCTGGTAGCACAGGAGAAAGACCTTAACAGGCTGACCCTGACTCTACTGTAATGAAACTACTTGGTAGTGGAGAATAAGATTTGTCCACCATGTGTTTGTGGGTCCAGTCCCCGACAACTGCAAGTTTTTCCATGAATTGCACTCAAAAACATGAGTTTAATATGAATAAAGGAGACTGTAAAGTCTTCTGGCAGGTTTCCTGTTCTTTTCTCTTCAATAAAACTAATAAGTCTCAAAGTCAGATAAAGGAAATATAATTTTGGTTTTGGGAAGCTAAGATTCCTTGGGATTAGTAACTCTATGGCTACAGAAATGTAAATTAATTCTAGTGTTTATTCTCACTTTTGCATCCCTTTAGACTGACACACAGCTTTAGGCATATGATTTCTTAAGGTTTTACTGATAAGCCTCTTTAATTGTGATATCTAGATATTTTTTTCTTGTATAAAGTAATGGTAGAGCATAATCTTAGGAAACTTTACATAATAAGATGCATTCTTTACAGTGTATAAAGAGCAAGGGTAAAACCAATTCCGCACACCACACCACACACACCCCCCCCACCACCTGACATATTCAGGCAAATTGGCATTTGTCACAGTGGTAAGAGAAAATTTGTATTTTCCTTGTTTTTTAGGTTCTTATGTCCCAGCAGAGTATTGTTCTTTTCGAATTGCAGAGCAAATTTTTACCAGAATAGGTATGGATGATGATATAGAAACAAATGCATCAACATTCATGAAGGAAATGAAAGAGGTATTAAACATAGCTCATCCAGGGTCCAAGGCCCACTTTTACTGTTAAACTAATAGAAATTGTACTAGTGTATTTCCACTGAAAGTGTACTTTGAAAAGTAGTCAAAAATTAAGCTTTCATCTTTTGCCTGGATGATAAAACACAGAAAACCAGGCATATCTTAAAAGATATTCCAATACGAGTAAAAATCAGTGCTCTGTTGGACAGTAGTTTCAGCATTTTGTTATTTCTTAGACCTTACGTGATTATTTGTAGGAGCCTAAGCCCTCTCAGTTCCCTCTCCCAAACTGATTATGATTTTGAGGGAAGGTGGTACTTTCAATGCAAAAGTGCTGTAGTATGAGTCTTTGCTTGATTAGAATTGACAGCTATTTGAAAGCTGTGAAAAGGTAAAATCTGTGGATCTGACAAGATTTTTTTTAATTTCTGCATTAAGTTTCATTTGAATAACACAAAGTACTCATGTTAGCAGTAGTATTCTGATTATGGTTTTTAAAAAATACATTTATAGGAATAATAACACATTAAATATTTTCCTAGGTAACATACATCGTACAAAATGCTAATGACAAATCACTCATCATAATTGATGAACTTGGCAGAGGTACCAGTGCTGAAGAAGGTATTGGCATTTGTTATGCTGCCTGTGAATATCTGTTGAATTTAAAGGTAATTCTGTTTTGAAAAAAATTTAAACATAATTATTTTGTCATACTGAAAGTAAATATAGTATTTTCTCATAATTTAACTTCAGTTTTGTAGAGATTTCTTGCCTAAATTTGGTATCTTTTATAACTGGTAAATAGTAAGAGTTATGGTGATAGAGAAAAAATGCTGACATGAACTGCATTTCTGTTCACTGGTTGTTGTGGTTTAACACCACCCAGCTGCTTGCTCACTTCTCCACAGCGAGATGGGGGAGAGAATCGGAAGGGTGAAAGTGCAAAAGCTTGTGGGCTGAGATAAAGGCAGTTTAACAGGTGAAGCCTTTAGCTGTGTGCACAAGCAAAGCAAAACAAGGAATTCATTCCCTGCTTCCCATCGGCAGGCGGGTGTTCAGCCATTTCCAGGGCAGCAGGGCTTCATCGCATGTGATGGTTACTTGAGAAGCCGAACACTGTAACTCTGAATACCCCTCCTTGCTCCTTCTCTGCAGCTTTTATTACTGTGTAATGTGGTCTGGAATATGCTTTTGGTCAGTTGGGGTTGCATTTCTGTCTAGACGAGAATAACCCAGTCTCTTTAGTTTTGCTTAGTACAGCTTTGTGAGTTTGAATGTTAAAGGTGAACCTCTTTACCTGGCTGCGTCTTCCCGAAGTACAGTGGTAGTTCCACACAACTTGTGAATTGGTCACAATGGTTAGAGGCTTGTTGAGAGAAGTGGAAGATGGTTTTGAAGTTTCACCTCTATTACTAGTTATGTTTTCAACCTCAGGTTGTGTCAGCTTTTTGAAATAAGTGTGTACATGTTCAGTTTCTCATCACAGTTTATTCAGAGTACTTTTGTGGTTTGGTTTGAAAACCTCAGATATTTTCTGTAGCTTGTACTTTTGGCAAAGCATTCCTTGAGAGTATTAAGGCAACCGTTTGACAATCATTCAGATTAACCCTAGTCAAATTTTGTAAGCATCATGGATTTTCTGTTACTTCTGATGTTCTTTTCCTTCCTCTGTTGAGAAAGGAGTGGGAGAATCCCCAGTTCGAAAAGAGTTCCTTGGCACAGGTGGAACTTACTGCTTGAAGATTGTAATTTGCTTTAGTAATTTAAAGACAGCTTTTCAATGTTTTGGAGGAAAGCCTGGACATCTGTGAGATCATTTAATTTTTCTTATTTACTGTAATTTATTCCAGGATAATTTCCAAAATAAATATTCTTTCTTGTTTCCTTATTTTTAGGCATTTACATTGTTTGCTACACATTTCCTGGAACTGTGTCATATAGATGCTTTATATCCCAATGTGGAAAATTGCCATTTTGAAGTGCAGCATGTGAGAAGCAGTGCTGGAAATAAGGAGAAAATTGCTTACACTTACACACTCTCTAAAGGCTATACAGAGGAAAAGAACTATGGTAATGGATTCCACTATGACTTTACTTAGTAAAGATTATATAGGATACTATTTCAGTTATTAGGCTTCTAACAATATTTTTCTGCTGACAGATTTCTGCTGAGTTTGCATCTCTCTTATAGAGTAACAACTGCAGATTTATAATGTGTTCCAAATCCTTGTGTGTTTTAAGTAACCATGTCTTGACATAATAGTTTGGGGGGTAGTATGAAGAACTTATATGAAATTTCATAGTGAAAAAAAAAACATTTTAGTAATGTCAGTAGCTACTTGATTCACCTCTTTGGATGAGATGAGACATTCTGAGCACACAGTACTTAGATTGATTTAATCTCCGCTTATGGAAGCAAGTGAAAGTTCTGGAGAGCCTTAAAGCTGTGAATGCTGAAGTTTGTTGAATGTAAAACTCTCTTACGTGTCTGCCATAAGGAATGATGTATCAGCTAAATAGCAGCTTGGCCCTTTTTGCTTAGTGAAAAGGAATCAAGTTTCTTTAAAAAAAGGCCAGGAATTTTATTGTCTCAGCCTAAGGCTATTTTGAGTGGTTCCACTAAAGCATCAGTGTTCTTGAGAAATTGTTTTTAATTCTCTTTTAACTTTATAATAAATCATACTGAAGACTGTGTAGATTGACAGATTATGGGTCAATAAAGAAATGAGTGAGTGACAGTAAGGCATAGCTACATGTTTTAAAGAGTTACAGAAATCCGTATGTTTCCGAATACTAGATTCTGAATTGGATCCTTGATTTAGGTGACATTTAATCAGTAGGAAATTAGCTACACATGACTTTTGCAAGCTAGTGATAACTGAAGATTACAAATTATTCCAGTCAGGCTTCAATTAACTGCACTTAAAACGTTTCTTTATCAGAATTTCTGAGTAAATTTCTTTACCTTAGGCAGCACAAGCTCAATTTCAGGTGCTATGCCACCACTAACTCAAGAACCCTACATGTAGAGAGTATTCTCAGAGAACAGGAGACCTTTAGTAACTCAGCGTTGGTGTCTTGGCTTTACCTTACTTGAGAAAGGTTACATTCTAAGAAAGAGTGCGAGGGCTCTTCTTGACCCTTTTTTGGTTTTAACCCTACAGTATTAAAGCACCCGATGAAGCACAGAATTTCCTAAGAACAGCCAGGGCCATAGGCAAAGGAAAAAGTAGAAAAATCATGTTAGGACAGAAAAAAATATTTTACATCTCTCTCACCCTGAGTATCTGGCACTTTGGCTACTGGCCACGGAGTAGAAGTTGGAACATGACATCCATATCCACTGGATGTCTGGATTTAATGGAGAGCACATTTATCACAACCTCAGTGTTTTCCAGGCTGCCAAATTAAACAACTAAACAGAGAAAGCTGTTACCACCATGCCACTTCTTTCCTTTAACCCCTACGAGAAAATGTGTATAGAAGTTATTTTAATAAAAATGAAAATGTCACCCTTTAAAAAAAAAAAAAGACTAAGTTAATTTTGGCAGACATAGTGTGGAAGGTAAGAAAAAAAAAATACATTAAAAATCCTGATTTCTGTTTTTTATGTTTAGGATTAAAAGCTGCAGAAGTTTCCTCCCTACCGTCATCTGTAATTTTGGATGCAAAGGAAATCACAAAGCATATTGCAAAACAGATCTTGGTATGTAGTAGAAAATTATAATACTGTAATTCACAGTTTTTATAAAACTTGGATATATTTTCAGTTTCTGAAAGGATATAGAATAATCACTGCCTATGGTTTTAATAAAATTGATTTCATTAAATTTTTTATTTCTGGAACCAGTTATAAAAGATTACACTGAAGGTCACTGTGACGTGGCAACACAAAGCAGTCCTTAGGGTTAAGGAGTGTTGGATGTAATGTTGGTGTACGAACAAAGAATCAAGAGATCAGAAATAGGCTGGAAAATAGCTAATATTAGTATTTTAATAATATCACATAATTGATTTCATATTTTAATGCATGTGTTTTTTAAGAACAGCACAGGCAGAAAAGCACTCCTGAGATGATGAAACAGAGAGCTGTATACCATTTAGCAATGAGACTGGTTCAGACTGCCAGAAATTCTCGATTGGATCCAGACAGTTTGCGTATATATTTGAAAGGCTTGAAGAAAAAGTATGAAGCCAGTTGTCCTGCACCTGGACAAAATGATGAGCAACAGTAATGCGTAACAGAGGCTGTTGCTCTAATTTTTATGACTGCAAGACGATTCTGGGTTTTGGCATAGTATTAGAAAACTGCATTTCACATGGTTTTAAATTCTTAATTCTTAGTCTAAATTATACTCACTCCTGAAAGACCATATCCTTCATGGGGTTTTTTCCCCAAAACATACCTGAAATAAAAGCATTTACTTTGTATGAGGAACACAGTTCTTTCTGATAATGAACTATATCCCTTTCATTACTTTAGAGACAAAAATGTTGTATAATACTTAGTATTTTCTACGTGATATGTCTGGTATTATAGGTCTTGTATCTGATACTAAAGATCTTGCCTAACGGAAAGCAGTCTTTGAAACAGAGAGTCCACTTGTCTTTCATAGGCAATCTCTGTTTGCGCTGTTGAACCTGTTTCTGTAAATCCCATTGTTCCCAACTCAAGGAGGGTTCTAGCTCTCTCAATCATTACGCTCAATCCAACATAACATAGGCAGTCCAGGACTGCTTCCTCTCCAGAACTGGGCAGCCAGAGGGGTTTTTGTAACACAGTAACAGCAAGTTACTGTAGTATTGACACTGTTGATCAGTTTTTGTTTAGAAAATGAGTAACAGGAAATCAATAAAAAGTTGAGTATGCTTCTTTCTTGGTTTTTTATTTTAGTACAACTTCATTGAGTGACTGCAGCCATGTATTCCTTTGTGTGCCACAACGTTTTCTGTTTTGTTTTCTCCCATCCCAGAGTTTTCCTGGTGCTTTTCGGTGTGCTTCAAGGTCAGCTGTTTCTCTTTCCATGCATAGCAGGGCTCTCCCTTTGCCTTGTGCACCTGGAGTCTTCTATTTACCCTTGTCATCCCGTGATGTTTTCTTGGGTTTATTGCACCCCAGGAGCTCTGCATTTGTTCTCTTGTCCCCTTAATACTCTTCCCTTTTCCTTTTTGTGGCCCCCTGGGTGCTTCCTTTAGCTTTCTGCCAGGTGCTGTCAGGATCTGGGGTGTACCTCTGCTGCTGCCCCGGCAGCCCTGCTGGTCTCTTTCGCGGCTGATGGCCGTAGCCACGTGTTTCCCAGGGGCTGCTGCTGTAGGCCAGAGGGTTGGGCAGGAAGGTGCAGCGATGGCCCCTCTCTGTCCCACGGGCACAGCTGTGGGCCGGGGCCGGCTGCGCTGCCGGGGGCGGCT